GGGAATCGATCATCTCCATAGTTTTCTCCGAGATGCACATTTTCAAATCTATAAGAACATATGTGAAGCAATTTGGTGGAATCAGGCGCTCATCCAAAAATTGAAATCATAGAAAGTGGACTTTTTCTGTCCTTTTGGAAACGATCTAGATCTAAATTGTGTTGATTGGGGCATAAAAAGATCTACAGAAAAAAACAATTCTAATGAGTTAAATGTGAATACTTGTTTGATCAGAATTCTCTGTGATATTGCGCGATTGAGTGGTGTGAATGGGTGGTTGGCGGGTGCTCTGGTGTGGTTTGCTTCTTCCTTCCTATCAAACATCTATCGTCCTGATCTCTCCTCCTCCTTTTTTATGTTTGTTACTCTCTTGTAACACCTCTAATCTTCAGCACTTATATGACCTTATTGTGTTGCAAGTGCTGTAAAAACACTATAAAAAAAAAAATTTTAAAAATTTAAAAACTCTAACAAAAACTAATCTGCTTCTGTTTCTCTGGTGTGTGTGTGTGTGTGTGTGTGTGTGTGTGTGTGTGTGTGTGTGTGTGTGTGTGTGTTCCCAGGTGCTGGCCAAGACGTACGGCCTTGAACTCCTCCAGGCTCACTTCTGTAAGTTTGTCTACGACCTGCTGCAGTTTGTCAGTCCGCTGCTGCTCAAGTGAGTACGTTTGTCTGTCTGGTTTGTTTGTGTGTCTGGTATATTATGTGTCTGGTTTGTTTGTGTGTCTGGTACGTTTGTGTGTCTGGTTTGTGTGTACGTTTGTCTGTCTGGTAAGTTTGTGTGTATGTTTGTGTGTCTGGTTTGTTTGTGTGTTCGTTTGAGTGTCTGGTATGTTTGTGTGTACGTTTGTCTGTCTGGTACGTTTGTGTGTTTGTTTGTGTGTTCATTTGAGTGTCTGGTATGTATGTGTGTACGTTTGTGTGTCTGGTACGTTTGTGTGTACGTTTGTCTGTCTGGTACGTTTGTGTGTACGTTTGTCTGTCTGGTATGTTTGTGTGTACGTTTGTGTGTCTGGTATGTTTATGTGTACATTTGTGTGTCTGGTTTGTTTGTGTGTACGTTTGTGTGTCTGGTTTGTTTGTGTGTGTTCCAGGGGATGACCCGACGAGATATGAGCAAGGGAAGCCTGTAGTTTTGAGACAACGTTATGATGTGGGTGGGTGGCGGGTGCTCTAGTGTGGTTTGCTCCTTCTTTCCTATCAAACATCTATCGACTTTTTCTCCCCTCCTTCTTTTTTTGTGTTTGTTACTCTCTTGTAACACCTCTAATCTTCGGCACTTATATGACCTTATTGTGTTGCAAGTGCCGTAAAACTCTTACTAAAACTAAAGAGATCAAATCTTTTTAATCATTCAAATATCAGTTGAACTCATGTCTATTTTTAGATTAATGAGATACAGAGGTGTTTTGT